TGGATGGAGAAACAACTGATGTTTGTCCAATATGTAAGATTCAGTTTCAAAGAAAGGCCAGTTTAAAATCCCATGTAATGCTGCATCAACTTGAAGAGCTGGTTTTGTGTGATGAATGTGAAGCAGAATTTCAACATGAAGTAATTATCCAACACAAATAGGGGTGATGATAGTAGTATGTACAATTTATAATTTCCTTTTTCAGGACGAATTATTCAAACACATGGAAACGCACGTATTACTTAATGTAAAACCAGACTCACAGTTAGGACCATTAACTTGTAAATATTGTACAATGGTCTGCGAAACATCGACAAAGTACAAACAACATGTTGCCAAACATATTGACGTTGAGAGGAATGTTCTAAAAGTACAAACTTCCATAATTCCCATTGACCGTTTAACTAAACTTGATTTATTTTTTTAGCGCAAACAGAAAAAAAGAAGACGATACTATGTGAAAAAGAAAGTCAGTTTGTTAAGTTGCAGATATTGCAAGAAATTATTTTCAAAATATTCTCTTTTGGCTAGGCACGAGAGGATTCATACAGGAGAAAAGCCATATAAGGTATCTACTCTAGCAAATTATTGATTATATTTTTCTACAAATAATATTTTATTTTAGTGCCAGTATTGTGAAAAAGGCTTTTCGCAAAATAGTACTTTAATAACCCACCTTTATCAGCATGCAGGATTCAAGCCATTTTCTTGTACATTATGTCCAGCTCAATTTGGTCAAAAAGGTAGCTAAGCATTACTTAAATAGAAATATTTTTTGATCTACCTCAACTTTATCTAGGAAATCTTCGAGCCCACGTAGTGAAAACTCACACAGTTAATAAGCGCAAACACTTATACAAATGTCTGGAATGTACCTGCATTTTTTCGACACTCTCTTCATTGAATGGCCATATTACCAAAACTCACGCCACTCACATCAATAAGAATGAAGAGGAGGAAGAAACCGGGGAGTCTATGATTGATAAAGTCATGAACAGTTTGAAACAGTTGAATAACGAATACAACCCTGGGTTGAAATCAAATAAAGAGGTAAGAATATTTTTTATTTGGGATAAGATTATGTCTCAGCTATGTTAGTCAAATTTTAACTTAACAATAGATTCTCCTACTTCATTGATGAAAACTGGCCTCACAATATTTGGATTACCACATTTATTATTAGCTCTTTTTGTCTAGAATACCAACATACGATCATTTTATGTCATATCTCAAATCAAATCAAATCAAAAAAAGCTTTATTGTCATAAATTCAAAAAGATCCATTGACAAAGTGACTTATCCTAAACTAAACTACTATTTAGAGGACACACTCCGCATTCACCCTTAGCAATATATATATATATATATATATATATATATATATATATATATATATATATATATATATACAAAGGGTGTATATTTTAAGTGATACCACTATTACTATATCCGAAACGGTAAGAGCTACAAGGTCGGTTAAATTAGAGAAAAGTTGCCTTTTTTGATGCCCATTCAAAACTTGTTTACAGTGTTGTCAAATTCCTTTTAGTTTATGAAATACAGGGTGATTTCTTAAAAACGCCAAAAACGATTTCATCAACTATTTCAAAAACTATTGATATTCGAGACACAATTTAAATTTGAAAGTTTTATAATTTTTTTCGCTCTACAACATGGTATCTTCAAATTTTAAATCCGACGTTTCGTGATCGAGCTTTCATCATCAACTTCATTTTTTTTAATACGGACCTGGTCTTTTTATGTCATTTTTACAAAGGGAATGAAAGGCACTTTCTAAAAATGACATAAAAAATCCAGGTCCATATTTAAAATAATGAAGTTGATGATGGTAGCTCGATTACGAAACATCGGATTTGAAATTTGATGACGCCATGTTGTAGAGCGAGAAAAATTAAAAAACTTTCAAATTTAAATTGAGTCTCGAAAATCAATAGTTTTCAAAATAATTGATGAAATTGTTTTGTGCGTTTCTTAGAAATCACCCTGTATTTTATAAACTAAAACGAATTTGGCAACACTGTAAACGAATCTTGAATGGGCATCAAAAAAGGCAACTTTTTCCTAATTTAACCGACCTTGTAGCTCTTACCATTTCGGATATAGCAATGGTGGTATCACTTAAAATATACACCCTGTATATATGTGTATTTTATTTTTTTTAAATAATAGGAACAAAAAGAGCAAATCGAGGAGCAAATCTTCAATTATTACAATTATGCTTATGAAACACGTTAAAATATCAATACAAGTGACACTAATTAAATATCAGAATGCCACGGACAGACACAACTAAAATAACAAAAATAATAAAATATCACAAGAATATGAACCAATATAAATATAAATATAAAACAAATCATAAAATTAACAAATATAATCACAAACTAACAAAATTTAGGACTAATTAGGATGAATCGTAAAATTCCTGGAGACTATAAAACACCTTTCGAATCAAATATATTTTAAGTTGTTCTCGAAATATTTTAAGCTCATGAATACTCTTTATTTCATGAGGTAACTTATTAAAAATCTTTATACTCTCGTATATAACAGAATTTTTAGTTAGTGAAGACTTTGGTATGGGCAGAGGCAAATTACTCTGCCTAAGATTATAATGTGTTTCTCTAGAATTACCCTTAAATTTCTTAAAAATTAATGAAGACGTCTCCAAAATAAAAATACCCGGAACAGTTAGAACAGCCTCCTGCTCAAACAGTGCCCTGCAGCTCTGCCTACAGCCAGCCCGACATAAATACCTGAGTGCTCTCTTTTGTAATTTGAAAACCGAATGAACTGTGCTTTGCCCAGAAAAACCCCAGAATGGTATGCCATATCTCAAATTTGATTCGATTAGTGCATAGTATGCAGATTTCGCTGCACGCTTCCCTAGCTCTTGCATAATGGATTTCACTATGTAACACCCTTGAGCTAATTTTTTGTTCAGCTGATCGATATGCACATCGAACTTGAGTTTTGAGTCAATATGCATACCAAGAAATTTGACCGCACCTCTGCTCTTCAATGTGGATTTGTGAAGCATTATACTTTCAAGGGAACATTTAAAGGTGAGAATATTGGTCTTCGAAACATTAAACACAAGTCGATTTGAATCGCACCATTCCTTAAGCCTTGAAAGGTCATTTTCGATTATCTGACTAAGAAGGATTTCATACAGGAGGAATAGTACTGGACCAAGCACAGAACCCTGCGGGACTCCGTGAGTTAACTTTTGCATCCCCGAGTCTTCACAATTGACAATCCTTACAAGCTGACTGCGCTCCGCAAGGTACGACCTAAACCATCTCAACCCCCCATCTCTTATCCCATAGTGACTCAGTTTCTGCAGCAGTATTTCGTGATCTACACAATCGAAAGCTTTAGAGAAATCACAAAATACCGCCGCAGCCTTCTCTCCATCATTAAGGCCCAGAAAAAGCCTCTCCATAAAGGAAAAAATGGCATCGTTTGTTCCCTTTTGCTCTTGAAAACCGAACTGATCTGGTGTTAGAATGTTGTTCCTTTTCAGGTAATCAACTAGCCTTTTCTTAACTATTTTTTCAATAATTTTTGAGAGTGTTGTGAGCAAGGATATTGGACGGTAACTCGACGGATCATTAATTTCTCCACCCTTAAAGACAGGGACAACTACAGCCAGCTTCAAGCAGTCTGGGAAAGAACCCATTTCAAATGAATGATTCACACAGTCAGTAAGAGCATCAAGTGCAGAAACTGGAAGATATCTAAGCAGTTTCAAAGACACTCCATCAACTCCCGATGAGTTTTGTTTTTTTATGCTGGTCATGACCCCCCAAATCTCATCTCTGTCCGTCGGAAATAGCTGAAAGTTTTCTGCACAAGAGAATGCAGGTAAGAAACCAAGTGGATTTTTTGTCACCTTAAGATTCTTCGTCAATTCACTGGCCACCGTGCAATAGAAGTCATTCAAATATTCAGGCTTAATATTTATACCTTTGGAGGCTTTTGATTGTCTACCACGCAGTTCATTTATTATATTCCAATATTCTCTAGTTGAATTCCCTGCATCAGACACTCGCCGACCGTAGTGCTTTTCCTTTGCGATTTTTATTAATTTTTTGTATATTTTACGGTATAAAGCGAAGTAATTAAGAAACCACTCAGAAGTTGTAGTCTTTTTTGCTTTTCATGATAAAGTATTATTTTCGCTGACAAAGCTTCATGATCAGAAATACCAGAGGGCAATACTGTACATATAAGATCACTGCATTCGATATTACTGCATATATAATCGATAGTTTTCGCTGAATGATTGGTTATACGTGTTGGCTCATTTACAAATACTTTAAGGTTGAAACACGTCAATAGATTTATCAAGGATTTTGTTTCCATGGAATCTTTAGTTTCGAAGTCAATATTCAAGTCACCTGCCAGAATAAGCCTCGCAGCGTGCGGGAATCTGGACAACAATAGCTCCAGGGAACTCAAAAAATCATAAGGATTTCCTGAGGGAGGGCGGTACACACAAATTATATAAATGTTAAGTTTTTTTACCACCACTACAAAGAATTCGAATTCGTTGCGTTTGGCGAGAAAATTATAACAGTCTAAGCTTTCAGTTTCAAATTCATCAGAAAAGCTTTCATGTACCAAAATCATTGTTCCTCCGTACCCACTTTCCCTGCAGTATTTACTAACCACCCCATACTGTGGAACAAAACACAATTCATCATCCTTTGACCAGTGCTCGGCTAAAGCCGGGTCCAGACTATCTAACAAAACAGGTCAAATAACAAAGTTTTATAACTTGTTAGAGAATTTTAAATAAAAAAGTTATACAACACAGTGTTGTACAACATTTTTTTTTAAAATTTGAATATGTTAATAGTAATCGTTCAGCAATTCTTTTGTATGTCTCCCAATTATAATTCCTATCTTATGCCTTGTGGTCATGGTCTACATTACATTTCACACAGCATTTTTTATTTTTGGTATACTACTATACATAATCGGTCTAATATAAACATAAGTGTCTTTGATAAATAAAATACTTATGTTTTCCAGAAAGCCAAATTTATTTAATAAAAAATACAAATAATTGCCCCTTCCCCAATAAACAGCCTACTAAGACGGCCATATAAAATCCAACAGTCTTTGTTCATAAATGTCCACCTTCTAAATGCTTAGAGAGAGTGACAGTGTGTGTTTCCTACATTATAAATTATTTCCGATTGGTTGGATTGGATTCATAAACACATTCTCCATTGATCCATGTGCTGTAAATATTAAAACGGTCAGTCAAAATAATAAAGTCAGCGTCGGCTCCATAGTTCAGAGTGCCTTTTTTATCGTGAATGCCTAAGACCTTAGCCGGATGCAAACTAGCCGATTCCAAAGCGTACTCCACAGGACAGCCAGTGGCCAAAATTAAATTCCTGACACACTCTATCAAGGAGGCGATGCTCCCACACAACGTGTTCGTATTGGCTATAAACGCCTTATGGTTTTTGATTTCAATGTCTAGTTGTCCAATTTTGTGCTTGCCCGTTTCCAGTCCTAGAGCAGAGATGGCATCAGTAATTAAAATCAACCCGTCAGGATGGATTCTATAAGCAATCCTTAATGCAGCTGGATGTGTATGGATACCATCAGCAATAATACCAAACGAAATTGAGTTTGTTTCAGTCATTTTATCTGATGCCAGTAAGCCCACCAGACCTGGATCTCGGTGATGGAATGGCAGCATGGCATTGAACAAATGTGTAATTAAACTGGCCCCACTCAACATAGCTTCCTCGCTTGTATTTAAATCAGCCATAGAATGCCCCAAAGATACAACAATATTTTTTTCTTTCAATTTCCTAATGACAACGCTCGAGTTCACTAATTCTGGCGCCAAAGTCAATATTCGGACGTTTTCCAAACTACCATAAGTGGATTCTACCTGTAGCATGCCTTGCTGGAAGTTACTTATGCATTCTTCGGGGTGTGCGCCTTTTTTGATTGTGTTAATGAAAGGTCCTTCTACGTGAGCGCCTAGTATGGTGGCTCCATGGGCGCCTCCAGCTTTATAACCGAATTTAGGCAGTATCTTGTGATAAACTTCTACCGGTGAAGTTACAATAGTGGGACAAAACGCCGTGACGCCGTGTTCCAGGAGTTTTTTGGCTACCATTGTTAAGCCTTCTTCGGTTTTGTCCTCGAAAGAGAAATCATAGCCATATCCTCCTGAAATAAATAAATGATAGTAGGTATCAATAATTTCTCAATGTCAAACTTAAAGTTTTAAAGAGAAGTATCAAATAGCAATTTTAGTAGACAATGAATTGGCCAATATACAGAAACTAGTAACAGCAATATGAAACTCAGAATTAGTTCCATAAAAAACCCAATAAACATAATTGTGGAGAACAAAAACATGGAAAAATTTAATGATTAGGATTTATAAAATTGGAAAAAATAAAGTCAAAATTAAGTAAGAGCACGATCAAAATTTCTATATTGTATGTTAAAGCGCGGCACTCTCTTTGCATACTTGGTAGAATTCAAAATATCCATCAAATGAGGTCTCTCGACTGACTTAACAAAAAATGAGATGATTTTTAAAGATAGCTTCACTATAAATATATCTATGTACATACAGGGTGAGTCATTTGGGTGGGAATGCCGGTTACAGCCTAAACGGTGATAGATACAAAAAATCTAATGGACCACTCAGAATTTTTCGGAATTCATTTTGTTTTCGATACAGGGGTTTTTTGGAAAATGGCTGATTTCTGTTTTTCTCTCTATCTTACTTGTTATCAAAAATTTTAGAAATTGTTACATTACGTTTTTGTGTGATTTTTAACGTAGAATCCAGAGACGTACTCAGATTTTTTCTAGGGGTTTTATTTTTATAGATATATTCAAAATTTTAACTCTTTTAAATGGGACACCCTATATATTTTTACACCAATAAATTAGATGTTTTTTTTTGTGATTGTAACGATACATAACAATTTATAGTTCTAATAATTTTACCTGTCAAAAACGCGAAAAAACTATATTTTTGGGGTATTTTAGCCAAGGTGATCCCCAGACCCAAACGTCGTATGGCGGTAGTAAGAACAAGGGCAGCAGCGACACGAGATTAGAAAATGTGGTGGGATATGATACATTTCGTCTTAAAGCGTGATTTCACTTACATGTCCCGCCACATGTTTTAATCTCGCGACGCTGCCCCTCCCGCGGTACCGCACTGGTGTGGTGTGTAGGATCCTTTAGTGAACATTTTTAGTAAAACAAATCATATCCAGTTTTTCAATCAAATATAAATAAAGGAACTTGTTCGTGAACTAGCAGACACATTAGTTAATTAGGCTTCGAACCTACGACCCCTAGATTCAGGGGTCGCGAAAGGTTGCAGATTGTAGCACTAACATGTCAAAAGTTAACGAAACATTTGACCGATTGGGTAAAAATGAACCAACTGTATCGGTATCTCGGTATGTCATGCATGCGCAAGCATATATTCCTTATATATCTGAATCTGACTACCTTGACGAAGTCAACGACAAATTTTACAGGCATCAGATCCACGGATCCCCTCTAATATGCAGCCTAACTGCAACAAGATATGATCCAGACAACCTCATAGTTCACGGACTATCTTACAAGAATTTACCCATTTATTTTGAACCCCCATGGGCCCCATGAACACCTCCCCTATCCCGAAACCTGCTAATTACACACCCAAAATATAAATTAAAAAAACTTGATTAATTAAAAATGTCCATTAAAGAGACTTTGCACCAGGCAATAATTAATAGAAACAAAAATAGAAACTCTAGTATTCCACTTGACTCGTCTTCAACATTTGCGAACCATATTTTTAATGAAAAACATGAGTTCAACCCAGAAACGGGTGTCAAACTAACAAAATTTTGTAACTTCGGAAATAAGTTGAATTTGCTTGAGATATCAGAAATTAATAAAGCTTTGACAGGTTTCACTATCCAGATTTTTGCCTGGCCTATTCCTACTTCCTAATAGTTATGTTTTGATCTCATAATTATATTATAAATAATAAGTTTATAATAATTTGTTAATATCAGATGCACACTGTCGCTACATCCCTGGGTTCCTGATTGTTGTTTTATGCTGACAGCTCAGCTGATAATAATTTCGTGGGTTGGATATTCAGACCCTTTAATTTCCGTCCATCCTAAAAAGATATAAGGAATGTGTTTTTTTAAGGCGTGGAGGAAGAAAAGACGTAAAAGCCCTTAAAGGGCCACTAAACAATTAAAATAAAAATAAATAATTAATTTCTTCTCCTGCTTTTTCTCCTTACATAAATGGGTAGTTATAACCCTTGACGGTGTACAGTGTGTTTCGGAATAATTTCTGGGTAAGCTTTTAAGTTTATACAATGTTTGGTGATATTTTTTATGTATATTAAGTCACAAACGTCAAACTTCAGGTTCTCCTTTGTAATTATGTTTCAGCTGTTGATGGGATTCTTATAATCCCGAAACATGTCCTAGTTGTTCCAACAAAGAAACAATAAAATTTAGTGGAGAAGACTGAAGTTTTCTTTTTGTAATTTACAAAGCTCCACTGTAAGAAAATGAACTTTTTTTTTTCAATTTAAAGAGACTTTGATTAAAGGATCCTACACACCAGTGCGGTACCGCGGAAGGGGCAGCGTCACGGGCTTAAAACATGTGGCAGGACATGTAAGCGAATAACGCTTTAAAATCTATTTTTTTTTTAAAGATAAAAGTCAAAATGACATTATGTTGGCAATACAATGTAAAATTGTCAATGCTTTCAAATTTTTTATGTAGAAAAGGCTTGTGCTGCCAACATAGTTACTAAATTTTTGACTTGGGGATTATCTTTAAAAAAAAAACAGACTTTAGAATGAAATGTATCATATCCCACCCCATTTTCTAATAATTATCATATCCCAGCCCATTTTCTAATAATTTTGATCCCGTGTCGCTGCCGCACTTGCTCCCGATACCGCCGTACCACGTTTGTGTTGTGTGAGCGTAATAGTTTATATATTTTTTCAGTATATGTGCCTCCTGGGCTTGGGTTGGGTTTAGACGAATTTAGGCGGTTTTTTGAGTATTTATCTTCATTTGACCCTATGAATGGTTCAGATACTCTTCTCAGTTCTGCTGGGAGATTTTAATGTTTCGAGTTATTCTGATTATCTAAGAAGCGGTCGACAAAATAGTTATGTTGGGATTTTAACCGATTCCATGAATTTATCGGGATTAGGTTAATACAACCTGATTGAAAATGTCAACAGCAGATTGTTAGATTTGGTATTTTTTGGTCGGCAGTGTGCAGTCAGTAAATCAGAGGTCTGTCTAACCAAAGTGGATGATCACCACCTACCATTGTCTATGACATCTGTGTATAATGAAAGTATTAATTTGAGTCGAAATATTCCAAAAAAGAAATATAATATGTACAACTTCAGAAAAGCGAATTTTCCGGCTCTTTATGTTGATTGGGCTTTTCTTGATGACATAAATGATGATGAGAGTTGCAGAATGTTTTACCACAGCATATATACTATTTTTGATGAGTGTGTTCCCAGGTTTGGGTTATCAAATCGCCGAGTATTTCCGCTGTGGTTTCATCGATCGGTTCTGATGATGTTCCAGCATTTATCGTCAAGGGATTGTGCTGAAGTTTTTGCGCATCTGTTGTCCGTGATTTTTAATAAGTGTCTCGGTATATCGGAAATACCATGGAAATACCCAAGGTTTGGAAATGCTCGAAAGTATGTGTCCTGTATTTAAAAAAGGAAACAGACTGAATATCTCAAAGTTTAGACCAATTTCTTCGATTCCTAACTTTTCCAAAGTGTTTGAGATACTGTTACATGATGTTATATACTCTAGGGTGAAAAATCTAATAACTCCGCTTCAGCATGGCTTCAAGGGCCGTTCGACTGTCACAAATCTGGCATGTATTACTGAATTTGTCGCAGAGGGAATTGATCGGCGTAAGCAGGCAAACGTTGTTTATATGGATTTTTCGGAGGCTTTGGATCGACTGGACCACAATTTTGTTGCGCAACACTGTTGCGTAAGTTACTTAATTTTAGATTCTCTAATAATTTACTCTCATTATTTACATCCTATTTGATGAATAAAAGTCAATTTGTGACTTATGGTGGGGCTCGGTCGATTGATTATCTTGCACCGTCTGGAGTTCCTCAGGGTTCAGTCCTGGGACCATTGTTTTTTTATCTTATTTATCAATTTGATTTGGATTTGGTTAATGACTGGTGCATCATGAACAGGTTGGATCTTAATATTTCTAAGTGTAACGTTATGTCTTTTACGTCTAAGACATCCACTCTCGAATTTGACTATGGCAATAATGAGGATATATTGGCGCGACCTAATGTATTTGGAGATCTAGGCGTTGTTTTTGATAAGCAAATGTCTTCTTGTATCAGATGCATTTAGGATTCTTGGCTTCGTACTTCGCAATACATGCAATTTTCAGGGTATCGTTCCATTACAGAAGCTATTTTCTGCATTGGTTTTGTCCAAACTGGAGTATGCTTCGATCGTTTGGTGTCCCTATTATGGGGTCCATGCTGAGCACATTGAATCTGTCCAGCGGAGATTTTCCAAGGTATTATGGTTTAGACAGGACGAAGAACTTACATCGGAACAACTCAATATTATTTCAAAATTCGTTATCATGGTGTACGATAGACATTCGGAAACCAACAACTCAAAAATTCCGAACTGTTGAGAATTTAACCCCAACAATGAATGTGTTGAAACAGCATCTCAAGCGATGTATTTTTCAGGCAGGATTTGTTTGGGGTAATCTGTGCCAACCAATGATAGAACTTCAATGCCCATCTAAATGGGGATGATTTTTTGATAACAATAAATGGACGCTTGATAAAAATAAATCGACGCCACTATGGACCACTACGAAAAATTAAAAAAAAAAAAAAAATTATCCGAAATTTTATTAAAATGTTAATGCATAACTTGTTTTGTTTTTGAAAAATTTGAAATGTACTAGGCTATGCTTGTGTGTCTAATGTTGCCATTAATTTGAGGTGAATAAATATATGTAAGGGGTTTCACTAGCTTTTCTGTGAATACATTTTGAGTTAAACATTGTTAAAATATTTACTTAGGTATTTATTTTCATTATGTTCTAACGAGCTCCTAATTTTTTTAAAATATTGTTTT